AATTATACTAGGTGGACAGGGCAGAAAAAAATATTAGACAAAGGATATGTATGTGTATGTGTGTGTGTGTGTGTGTGCATGTATGTGTGTGTGTATATATATATATATATTTTCTTTCCAATAAGCCTAAACATTCATGTAATTTGTGTTCATTTTGCTATTTCATCAAAGAAGTGTTTTCTTATAAAAATCTATAATGTTGAGTCCTTGGTTGTTTCTAAAAACTGAAAGATTTACTGTATTTAATTTCCAGTCATTTCTGCAAAGGATTTCATTAAACTTTTAGTGTTGCCTGATTTAAAAAATACTTCTAACAGCTATAAAACTCCACTTTCATAGTTTTTATATAATCACATTTATATTATACAGTTACAACATCCTTTATTAAAGTATGGTTTTCATACCCTTTATTATTTCAGTAATAATTCTAAATTCAAGTTTTCTTCAGTTTCTAGGCTACAGCAGTGATGACTAACCTTTTTGTCCTCGCATGCTGAAAGTGTGTGCACGCGTGTGACAGCACACAGGCATGTGCCAACACCCATAAGGCAATGCACACGACACCATCATGCTCCCCTGAGCATGTGTACGTGACCCCTGTGCCCGGTTTTGGGCCTAGCAGGCCTCCCTGAAGCCTCTTGAGACAAAAAATGGAGCGTGAGGGGCACTCACCCTGCGCCCGCGCATGCATGCCCCCTGACCCCCCCACATGTATGCACATCTCCCGCATGTGTGGCAGAGACCCAAAAATCAGCTGGCTGGTGAGAGGTGTGCGCACATGCATGGTGGAGCTAAGCTCGGTGATGGCTTGCATGCCCGCAGAGAGCGCTCGTCATGCCATGTGTGGCACCCCTGCCATAGGTTCGCCATCACGGGGCTAGAGTCTAGACTGTTTATGCTTCTTTCATTCTGTTATAATTAAAGAGATCTTCTTATAAAGATAAAATGGAAGAAATAAGCCTTTTGCCTTGACCTTCTAGAGAAAAAGTAGGATATAAATACAGTATGCAATAAATAGATAGCATCTCAAAAAAAAACCACAAGGACAAATGAGAAATATCACTCACTCACTCACTCATTCAGAGGTACATACACTTGTGAAACTAAATGTACACATACAGTACAAGGTTAAAAAAAAATCAACATGCACACATATACAGCTCAAACAGGCAGTTGTTGGCCTGGCATAGAATGACTGGTAGATTTTTTTTTTACAACTTTTCTTTCCCTAGGTTTCCTTTTGTGATTTAAAAGTAGCGAGGGTTGCATTATTTTACCATTTCCCCAGATTTATTTGAGAGGTGAGGAAGAAACCCTTCTATGAATTCCAGTGAATGATTGCTTTTATTTGAGTAAAATCTGATTACAATCTTCTCCATCATCTCTATGAATTGGTTCAAGGAAGACGGTTTATTGTTAATCGCTATATGACAGTATTTTTCCATAGCTTTTCTTTTGTGTTCCAAGCGGTACAATGAAAATATTTGTATAACATTTAATACTACAGATTGTTCTCTTTGCATCTGTAACCTATATGCTTCTGTTTTACAGAGTTGATTTTTTAAACTTTACAGACTTAATCTGGCATAAATCATTAAATGATGTATCCCTTTCATGCATCTTAAACTTGAAGTTCAACAGAGTTTTAACAGATGAACAAAATATTTTTAAAACCAGACCAAGAGCAGGCAGGCTGTAACCAGTCAACCTAGGGAAAGTCATAACAACTTTGCAAAGATCAGTTGGCACAAAGTTAAGAATCTTCCAGCATGCAGTACCATTATTACATATAATGACTTGTAGTTTCAATTTATCCTAACCACAGTTCTAATATAATTTGCAATAGCCATACATGCATAATATAATTTGTAATAGCCATACATGCATGATATTGGTTTTTACAGAGAGAAAAAAGGAAGGAGTTTTGACTTCAGACCTGGGAATAAATTTGTGGATGTTCTTCAATTTAACTAATACACAAGTTGTTGACACATAACAAGATCCATTAAAAAAATCAACCATGTCAATGAGAAAAGGCAAATCCCTTCTTCGTGAGTATAATTGTAGTGAAAATACAATCTTGATTGTCTAAACACATTAGTTATATTTGGAACTATACAGTTTCTAATCTGATAAGAACATTATAAAGCTGAGTAAAATATAGAAAGAGGCTCTGAAATAATATTTGAAGTATCTTTAAAATGTTCATTTTAAAGAAAGATATGACAGAGGACATAAATAGCACTTTGAGAGATCTCGTCCTATCATTCTCAAAGTCTTTGTCACTGAATTAAAATGATTGGTAGTAGAAAGTCTGTTGGCAAATTAAAGTGTGATGAGAATGTCTGCAGTTTATAAAAGTCTCAGATGTGGCCCCAAGCCCATTCAGAATGACCACTAAATTTTTAATTTGACACAACAACAATGTATTAGAGACACGAGGAGAAATCATAATAACTACATTTATATAGAGTTAAATTGAACATTTGTCCTATCTTACCTCCCTTGACCAAAATGTCTTGAAAAAGTTGTTCACTTTTAGCACATTAAGGAAAATGTGCTAAAGTTATAAATACTAAACCAGGGTTGTCAAACTGGCAGCCCATGGGCTGGATGCATCATGCACAGGCCACGCTCAGCCCAGCTCACGAAGAGGAAAAAAGCCACGAAATGTCACATGATGGCAATGTGACTCCATGAGTTTGACACCTGTGCCCTCAATCCATTAATGGTGATTTAGGAAAAATTGTTAAATGAATCTTTTATGTTTACTGCGGTCAGAAATCAGATGCCAATAAAAGTATACATTGGGAGAATGCATTTGGAAGGCAGCTAAATTGCAAAAGGGGCTGCTGATTGGTTGACATTGAAAAACAAAGCACTGCAAGTAGAAATCAGATATCACATGCTCATGAGTTGCTTAAGGGAAAAATAATTTGAATTAAAACAGTGCCTGTCAACAGTGTGTGCCTAATTCAGTCTGGTTTGCTACTACCAGCAATTAGGTATTTGGACTTTTGGAAGAACTAGGAAGTGTGTCCTGGCAGTGACAGAATCTCAATGTAATCCATAATATTTCTCTATTTGTAATAGAAGCACCATTCATACTTGATTCTAAACTGCATAAATAATAAATTAATTATGAATAGGTAGATTCTCATTAAAAGCAGTTATGGGTTTTAAAGAGTTAGTTGGAAAATTGCAATAAGGATAGCATTGTAAAAATGTCATGGGTGCCATGAATTCGGTCTTTTTCTTGTGTGATTGATTCAAAACTTCTATTATCTTTTCATCTTTATCCATACCTAATATTAACTCTTTCTTAAGAATTACTGCTGAAGCTTATGAAAGTCATGTTTTCAGTCAAAGTCTAGTGCTAGAATCTTCAACATAGTGCCCGTACTAATATGTCAAACTTCCCTTGGCTTCCACCTTGCTGCATTTCATATTAAAAACCATTTTAGTGAGCGTGTTTTTAGTTCATGCATAATAATCATGATATAAATTCCACCATTTGAAGAGTTTGCTGGTATTGCTTTGGCTTTCAAATTCAACTGCCTGGAAAGTTTTATCAGGAAATTGCTACTGTCCCTTGGGATAATTTGAAATTTAATTCAATCATTCCAACTTTTAGGTGAGTTTTTGTTCTACTGCTAATTAGAAAAATTATTTTTATATCCAATTTTTCATTAAAAACTAAGTGAGACAAAATTGCACCCTGAAAGTGAGACCATTTATGGAGGTGAAAGTATTGGGGTGAATTGGAGGACCTGCTTATCATTTTGCTATCAATGTTATTAATTACAAGGATAAAATTGAATTGTCTATTCGAATTCATTGACCAGATTACTAACTCATATACTTTTATCACATGGAGTGGGGAAGTATTGTTGAGTAAGATGTAATTTTGATAGGATTCCATCTCTAGTCCAATCAGAGGTGGGTTCCTACTGGTTCGGACCAGTTCAACTGAACCGATAGTGGTTTGCTGGCCTGAGTCACCGAAACCGGCAGTGCGCACACCCAACTGGCAGTAATGCTGGCAGCAACCCACCCCTGAGTCCAATGTAGATCTAAAAGCCTCATTGCCAAGCCTCCTTGCTCCTGGGTTAGCAAGAATGATGTGGAAGGACAGAAGCAGAGGTGGGATGCTTCTGGTTCAGTCCCAATAGTGCGAACCAGTAATAGTGGTGGCGGGACACTGCGCCCACCCACCCAGACACTTCTGTGCACATGCAGAAGAGTCTCGTGAGCACGTGCAGGAGCACACCCAAACAGGTAGTAAAAAAATTGTCAACCCATCTCTGGACAGAAGATATAACTGGAAAATAACTTTGTTCACTGCGTTCATTACAGTCCACTGATTATTTCTAAAACTGCCATTATATTATTTACTATAATAATATATTGTCCCACAATTTTATGATTTATTGAATCATAACTTTGAGGATAGCAATTACAAAGATTAGGAATGAAAAATCTAGTACAAGGAACCACATTTATTTATGCCAGCAAATTAAAGTTAACAAGCATTAAAAGTAAATTGTAATATCATTAGCTCTGATGAGAAGAAAATAAATTTCCCCAGCCCTATAATTACTATATTTTCTCCTTAATCCTGACTTCTATTTTGATATCCAAACACTATTTTCTTTTTGCTTTGGAAAATTCCATGGTTCATGAGACTCTCAATTATCTCCATAGTTCATGAGACTCTCAAAATATTTTGTTTTAGTTGTTATATCTTGACATTTTAACAATGCCTATTATACATAATAATGAGAAGAAACTCAAAAAATAACTTTGCACAGGTTCAAAGAAGTAAAGCCATCACTTTGTTACAATTTCTACTGGTAGAAAATGAGCTGCATTTGTGTAGTGCCACAAAAGCAAGTGGTTTTGTTTTGTTCTTGCTTCCAGTTTATGAAGAATGATTAAGATATTTTTTGAATGATTTCAAGATAGCAATAATGATTTTTTCTCTTTTCTCCCATTCTTAGAAATTGCTTCGTAGATATTTTACGGGCTATTCTCTTGTCCTTGGAAGTTCTGATTGAAGATCAAGAGCTTCAGATAAACGGCTTTGTTCTAATTATAGACTGGAGTAATTTTTCTTTCAAGCAAGCCTCCAAATTGACCCCTTCCATCCTCAGACTGGCCATTGAAGGGTTACAGGTATGTAGCACAGAAGAAAGTGTAATACCTTGATGAATACCTTGGCTTTATTTCTTTTCTTTTTTTCCCAGGAACACTGTTGTCAAGTACAGAAATAATTTTAAAAAATCAATAGATTTTTTAAATAGAAAAATCATGTTGAAACTTGAGGCTTAATTAAGAAAGTCTGATGCTTATTTGTTTCAATGAAACTGTGAGTCATTTTTACCACAGGCTATACTGCATGCTGCAGCAATTAGAAATGTTTAGAGATTTAAGATTTAATCCATGGGACTTCAGGGGGATTAATAATTTGCAACATCTGTCAGACAAAATATATACCACATGTATACCGAATGTCTGCATATGTGCTGAATGGAGGATAAAATAAGTATACAGAGACCGAGTTAGCATCAGTCTGCATTATTATAAGTCCAAATAGCTTTTAAAAAAATTAAAACAAAAAGGTCTCTAAACTATTAAAGTCAGAGGTGGATATGTTGCCTATGTTTACATCCATAAATAAATGAACAAACATTCCTAGAATGGTGGGAGCAACATATGTGGTTTGCTTTTAAATATTAGATTCTATCAATGATAACATTTGAATGAGGCTGCTTTTTCAGCTGTAGGCAACCTAAGGATACTAGGAAAAGAAATGCTGAATCCACAACCATTTTTTTTCATATCAGAAAAATTTGCATCACTAAGTGCTTTGGGAATAGCCAACTGTGGGGTTCTTGACACTCTCTGAGCTTGGTAGTTTTCTTGCAGACATCTCATTACCGAACTAGGCAACAATGCTAGGAGTGACTCAGTGGCTAAGATGCTGAGCTTGTCGATCAAAAAGGTCAGCAGTTCAGCAGTTCAAATCCCTAGTGCCGTGTAATGGAGTGAGCTCCTGTTACTTGTCCCAGCTTCTGCCAACCTAGCATTTCGAAAGCACGTAAAAATGCAAGTAAAGAAATAGGGACCACTTTTGATGGGAAGGTAACAGCATTCCGTGCGCCTTCGGATTTTAGTCTTGATGGCCACATGACCACAGAGACGTCTTCGGACAGTGCTGGTTCTTTGGCTTTGAAACAGAGATGAGCACCACTCCCTAGAGCCAGGAATGACTAGCACATACAGTATGTGCAAGGTGAACCTCTACCTTTAACTTATACTGTCTGGCTGCCATCTTTCCTGCAATACTACCCAACACCTTTAGGGATGTATAATTTGCAATAACATCCATGGGAAGTCTCTAAATTATTGCATTTTAACAGCTAAGCAATATTTATCAATACTCCTAAATAGTTGCAATTATCCAGAATTTGCTTAATTCATCTAATAGTCTTAAAAAGTACTTAGTTTATCTAATATTGAAATAACATTAAGTTAAAGTGAGGCATGTTTAAATGTTTTATCTTTGATACACTGGTAAGGATTCTTCAGATAAGAATGTTTGAAATGCTTTATCTGTTAAAGATGCTATTTAACTTATTTTTGAATAGTACTTACTAAGACTCTTCAGTAAAGTGTATTATTCACTTACTATATTGTAGTTCATAAAAATAAGGATCCCTCTCCTAGAAGTGTGGTTCTGCTGCCTGATGTAAATAATTATATAATATTCAAAAAAGCTACATAGTATTTTCAAAGGCAAAAGTGAAATAATTGAAATAATACTGGAATACTGGTTTCTCTTTATCCCTAATGTACCATTGATAAATTTCCTTGTTGAGAGGAATGTTGTGTATATAATATAGTTATACTATAGTTGTGTGTGTGTGTGTGTGTGTGTGTGTGTGTGTGTGTGT